CCAAGTGAAACGACAGCAACGCTTCGTGACTCCATGAAATGTCGGATGGCCACAGCGACGGCCCCGCAAATGGCCGACGGCCCAGACTTTACTCGGCCCCTATCTAGGGGTTTAGGGTTTAGGGTTTAGGGTTTAGGGTTTAGGGTTTAGGGTTTAGGGTTTAGGGTTTAGGGTTTAGGGTTCTAGCCCTTGTTTCCGTTTTGGGGGGTTCCCTTGCAAGGCCCTTTCAACCCATGAGGGCACCCTTGTGATTTCTAGGTCATTGTTGGGTCCGGCAAAGAAGCCCTGAAGGCCTAAACTCCTAAACCCCACAAGACGAGATTACATCCCGCGGTTGATCTGAGGGTTTAATTGGGTTTAGGGTTTAGGGTTTAGGGAATGATGAGCCATCCTTGGTACATGACACGACAATGTGGAACCCAGGGGGGTTCAGGATTGAGAGTTCAGGATTGAGAGTTCAGGGTTTAGGGTTGTGAGTTTAGGGTTTAGGGTTGAGAGCTTGGGGTTTTGGTAAAGTCTAGGGTTTAGGCTGTAGGGTTGAGCTCAGAACCGACAGTCGGCACGCCTGCACCCCAACCGCGCTCGCAGCAAAGGGTTTCCCTGCTTCGAGCATGCTAGGTCCCAGAGTACACCAGGAAAAGAAGCGATTTAGGGTTTAGGGTTTGCGGTTTTAACCCTGAACCCTAAAACCTAAACCCTAAGCCCTAAACCCTAAATAGAGCTGATACGGGAACTCAACCCCTGAAAACGCGAGTAGCTCCTTCGGTCCTACGGCCGAACTCGGAGGTCATCCCACCAGGTTTAGGGTTTGGGGTTTCAGCTCCCTCTAGCCTACGATTTGCTTAAAACCCCACACAAAACAAACAAATCTTCCTGCTAAGGGCAACAAAAGGTTTACTTTAAAAAACTAGGGGTTCTTAATCAAACAGTAGAAAGCTCCTTTGGTAGCTGAGTGGTGCCCTTTGCCCTAGTTGCCTTCAGGGCCAGACTCGCTCTTCGCCTTCAACTACGTACTTGCCGCAGGCGAGTCTATGGAAGTCCTAGATGACCAGGAACCTTCGATAGCTAAGAAACTTGGGAATGTTTCAATGCAGCACCGGGCAAGCAATGGAACAAGGCACGGCGCTGCCCTACGCCTGGCATATGGAGTCACCATGGCTTATGCACCCGGAATTGAGGGTATCTGGCCATTGCGCGGAGACGCAAAATGTGATGCCACATCACTGCAATTGCGCATGGTGTCAGCCATTGTCAACAACCGCACGTCACTGGCCAGTGGTCACAACTTCAATTTTAAAACAACACAACCAGCATCAGAGAGGGGAACCGTTAATCACCATACGGGGTTTTCCAAAAAAAGGGCACCCCCAAAGATACCCCAAAATACTGTAGTCCTCATTATAGGAACCCCAAAAAGGGTACCCTTGTTTTCGGAAACCCCCATATGGTTACTGTCCTACCAAGCCCTACCATGCCCTCTGTTAGCCCCAAGCCCTAGACCTCAAGGGCATGCTCAGCCTTCTTTAAGGCCCTCGAAATACCACACAACTTAGTTAGTTAGGGCTTCGGGTTTTCGGGCAACAGCCCCCAAAACCCTGCAGAGAAGACCCCCTCGAATCGTTGTTGGGGGGAGCACACGAGAGCGAGGCGTCAATACCACCAGTTCGACGAGCACGTCCACGTCCTCAGCCAGGCGTTCGGGATCCGTTCGTGCCTACTTGGAGGTTCATGGTACTTGTTTTAACCAATTTGAACTGTACTTGTATAACCATAATAGGGCACTTAAGGGGCTTATCGGTGGGTTATAAGTACCATGAACCTCCAAGTCGAGAGAGACCTGGGTCGCCGGTCTCGAGCCGGGCTTGGGGTCGAGGTTTGTAAGGTTCAGGGCTTTCGGTTTCAGAGCTTCGGTTCAGGGTTCATCGTTCAGGACAACTTGTGGGTTTTAAGCCTTTGGAGCTTTTGGTTTTGCAAATAACTTGTGGTACAGGACTCTTCTCATGAGCAGAGGTCATTCAACCAAACCGTGTTGCTGAAGTACCCTACAATAATGCAGGCATGAATATCCACCAAGGCTCATGATATAACTACCTATGAACAACAAGACTGCCTAGAACACCAGCCCAGCCAACCCGAAGCAGGACTGATCAAGACCAAACAACGCAATGCTACAGAGTCCAGCGTCCTTCTCGGTGATGTGTTGCGTTCTTCTCTGTCGAACAAGGGCACCTTGTTTTCTCCTAAGTTTCTGGTTTAGGGTTCAGGTTGGGATGTTCCCCCTTACACTAACAGTCCTTAAGAGGGATTGTAGTACCCCCTATTGGAATCCCTCTTAATGACTGTGGCACATCCCAAGGTTTAGGGGTTACTTGGGCTTTAGGGATAAACACATGACCCTCGCATCGACTGGCGGCTGCATCCTTTATGGGCTTCCCTACTACCCCCCTCCATACTACCCCCTAGGTTCCCCCCCCCCATAATTAAGGTTCCTTGGGGATAATTAAGCCGAATTAAGGTCATTTAAGGGGGGTAGTAGGGAAGCCCATGAATCCTCAGACTCCCGTCGGCCACAGCCACGCCCCTCGCGTGGCGGCGGCGCCTGCCATGATTGGGGGGCGTCGAGTTGAGGGCATCCCGGTTGGAGCCGTTGAAGCCCCCAAAACCCTAAACCCTAACCCCTGCAGACAAAATAAGTAGAAATGGTATGTCCTAAACCCTAAACCCTCAAGACAAAGCAACTAGAAGTGGTATGTGGTGTCGTTCTGAACTTCCCAGGTTGTTTGTCTAGTCAGCTGACAAGCCGAGTTGAAGTAAATTAGTCCAAAGCGCCTCTGAAAAGCCAAATGCTTGAACCTCTGGTTCGTTCATATGAGCGAAACCTTTTATTACGTTGCAGGAGGTTTCTTATAGCGGGAAAACGATAGCCCCCCCCCCCCCCGGCATAAACAAACAAAAAAACAAGCGATACCCTCAACCTTGAATCTAGAAGTCGTTCTGCAACAATGTCACGATGTCGTGGCTGGGTATTATTCCAGAGCGATACTCAAAGCTAGACCCCTACGATACCCATTTGGCCACCCGAAGCGCTGGGCAAAGGCCCTACAAGGAGCACTCTCACTCTATAGTGTATAGGTCCTAAAGAAAGGAAACGGGTTTAGGAATTCAGGTGTATTTAGGGGAGGGTTCCAGGTTTAGGATCTCATGAGCAGTAAAGCGATAACGTTTTCGTAGTAGCATTGAGCCAAAGTCCCATACAAGCGATAGGCCCCCCCCATAAAACGATACCCCATGAATTTTTATTTAGCAACAACATAAGATTTTTTGCGGCTGCTCATATGGCCCCTTACCTGTCCTAAGCTCGATAGCGTATAGAAGGGCTCCCCCAATTGAGGGTTTAGGGTTTAGGGTTTAGGGTTTAGGGTTTAGGGTTTAGGGTTTAGGGTTTAGGGTCCGAAAATGGAACCTCCGGCCCTGCCTTTTGGCATGGCAATAAGCCCCAACCCGCTAGGTCGTTGCACTAATTCTACGAACAAACTCTAGAGCCTAAACCCTAAACCCCTAAACCCTATTTCCCAACCCCCCAAACCCTAAACCCCTAAACCCTATTTCCCTACCCCTAAACCCTAGACCCCTAGACGCCTAGACCCCTAAAGCCCTAGACCCCTAGACCCCTAAACCCCTAAACCCCTAAACCCCTAGACCCCTAGACCCCTAAACCCCTAAACCCCTAAACCCCTAACCCCTAAACCCCTAAACCCCTAAGCCCGTAAACCCCTAAACCCCTAAACCCCAGTTCAATCCCCAAGAGCTGGAGGGCGGTGGTGAGGGGTTGGTTTAGGGTTTAGGGTTTAGGGTTTAGGGTTTAGGGTTTAGGGTTTAGGGTTTAGGGTTTAGGGTTTAGGGTTTAGGGTTTAGGGTTTAGGGTTTAGGGTTTAGGGTTTTGGTCCTAGGCAGGATATGGGGGACCCTAAAGACGGGAGCCTTTCTCGACCCTCTTCTGGCTCTCTCAAACAGGGACCTTATTGAGAGGGCCTATATCCCCAAGGGTCCCCCAAATCCCCTAAACCCTAAACCCTAAACCCCTTTCATTGGTAAGGGGTTGGCCTTGCGCCAGGGAGATGGAGCTGCTGGAGCCCACCGCAGAGCCTCGGCACTGGCAAAAGCGCCTAAACCCTAAACCCTAAACCTCTCTTTCATATAATAATTTAAGCCTTAATTAAGGCCCGTGTTGTAAGGCCCATAATTCGTGGTTGAAGGCCCGTGTTTTAAGGCCCATAATTCGTGGTTTAAGGCCCATAATTCGTGGTTTAAGGCCCATAATTCGTGGTTGAAGACCCGTGGCTTAAGGCCCATAATTCGTGGTTTAAGGCCCATAATTCGTGGTTTAAGACCCGTGGCTTGAGGCCCATAATTCGTGGTTTAAGGACCGTGGTTTAAGGCCCATAATTAGTGGTTTAAGGCCCGTGGTTTGAGGCCCATAATTCGTGGTTTAAGGCCCGTGGATAATTCGTGGGTTAAGGCCCGTGGTTTAAGGCCCATAATTCGTGGTTTAAGACACGTGGAGATGCAATGGCAAGAATCTGAAGTTAATAAGGCCTTTGAGACTGAGATGATTGGAGAATGCTTGTGTTTTTGTTTTCTCAATCTTATGGGATTCTCTGGGTGGGTGGGTGTTATATCCGAGCCGTAAATAAACTTGACCATAAAACTGCTCGATCCGGAGCTGCTGAACCCTAAACCCTAAACCCTAAACCCTAAACCCTAAACCCTAAACCCTAACACTCCGCCCCCAAAGACTCCTCCCAGAGATTTGCGGGGAGGGACCTCCCGAAAGGCTAGGGCTTCTCGTTACATGGGTCCCTGGATCTTGTTTCCTTGGGGTTTATGAGGGAAATTAGGGGCCTTGACTTAAGGGCTCTTGTACAAGGGGCTATCATGGCAGCCCAGTGTTGCTCTGTGCGCTTTTCCTTTGGAAACACTAAAACCTAGACCCCAAACAGATGTGCGTTTTTTCATCATAAGCACTAAACCCTTGGCCCCAACCAGATTGCCGTTACTATAGTGCGGTTACTGGGCTACCAAGTGGCAGGGCCATTCTGAGGTTAGGATTGAGGGTTTAGGGTTTAGGGTTTAGGGTTTAGGGTTTAGGGTTTAGGGTTGAGGGAGTTTGTGAGTCTTTTGCGCCGGGCTGAGGGAGGACCTCGGCTCCACTGGACGCGAAAGGGACCGGGTTTAGTCTACCTAGGCGCAGATGCCACAGACTTTAACCCTAAACGCTAAACCCTTTAACCCTGATTTCTTAAGGGATATTCCAAAGTTTTTAAGGTAGCTACCCGTTATTGCTCCAAGTCTAGTCGAACTTGCACCCCCAAAATGGGCTCCCAATTTTCGGAATCCCCCATAAACACTAAACCGGGCAGTCATGCTGGGCGTAGTGTAGCTGTTGTGTTCCCCTGAACGCGAACGCGGGACTATTTAACCTTGGAATTATAAAAACCACACCAGCCCTAAAATTAACCTCTAGGCCAAAGACCCTCCATTCCGAAGCTCCAAGTCCCAGCATTCTTAGTAGTAGAGTAGGTAACCTTTAACCTTTTTGGGTGAATATATTCCCCTTATATTCCCAAAGGTTAACCTTTAAAACCCCTAGGTACTGGACAACTGAGCATTGTTCCCTTGAGGAAAGCGAAGGGCTTGAGCGTGGTGCTTTGATCGGTGACGACATCTTCCTCAGCAAAGACCTTACTTGCGCTGACAGCAATGCCCCCCATTCACCCAACCCGCGCGCACGCGAATATTCACACATTATATGCTAACCCCCCTTTGGGGTCTACCTTTTGCATGTATATTTGGAAGGTTATGATGTCACATGTGCGAGTAACAGGATATTTGCTCACAGTATTTTCGCGTCCCCGGGTCCTACAGGACATGCTTTTTTTCGCATCACCCTATCCGCTCGAATGCTTCCCAGTCTTCTGGTTCGAGGCCTACCATCCTTCACTCCTTCCTTTTCCATTTGCTGTATTTGAATATACAATGCATATTCCCTATATACGTACATGATGTGGGTACTTCTTCTGCTTTTTCTGTGCAATTCCACAGGAGGCAAGCCCTACATACGATAAACACAGGCAAATAACCCTGTGGGAGTTAAGGTTTAGGGATTTAAGCCTCAAGCCCTATTGGGTTATAAGGTTCTGATCCGTTGCTTTACCTATTCTCACATGTTCCGATGAGTGCAGAAGCATGGAACGACGATTTCTCTGCGTATGGATGTTCTTTCATGTGGTACAATGGCTATGGGCAGAGGCAACAGTATTTCCTTGATGGCTACGGATGAAATGTTACCCTACATTCACGAAAAGTGAGAAGAATGATTTCTTTCAGTCACGAAATGTGAGTATGGGACCGAATTAACAACAACTTGCTTTGTACAAGTCGATGTGACTCGGAGATAAGAGGGTGTGAAATAGTCAGGAGTGTACGGTGTACAGCCGAGGTCACATTTCCCCTAGTTATATTCCTTTTCTAGAAGCCCAAACGTATTACCACCAATAACAGGCAGACACTTTTCACATTTTGACAGACTCGCAGGCCTTGGGCCCTAAGGCCTTTCGACGCCCAAAATAAGCTGCGCAGGAACTGCCCCTTAGCGATTCCACATTAGACCCCTAAGAAACTACACCTGAAGCCGAAAACCCCTGAAGCCTTTACGCCAACCTCAACCTTACCTGTGCAGGGATTAGGCTGCAGGGCGGAGAGGCCCAAGAGTCATGGGGCACTACCTTGGAGCCTAAGGTTGTGCCCTTGGCCCTTTTAAAGATGCTTAAGGAAAATAAGGGCCATACTATAGGCGCATGTTAAGGGAAACCTCTAGGGCTACAACCTTAGGGTTTAGGGTTCAGGGTTTAGAGGTAGGAATCTTAGTCCCTTGATTCGCCCTGAACCCGAAGCCGGTAGAAGCAACCGCCCAGGCATGCCGGTGTGTGGCCCTGTAGGAATGCGGGGAAGATCCACGTTGACCAACGATCCCATCGCCAAAGTTGCAAGCCGACAGGCGTGCCTGCAAGCGCACTGGCGAGGCGTGTTCCAGGCGCGTGCCAGGGCTGGGACGTTCGTGATGGAGGGCCTTGCGCGTGGCACATGGGCTTGGTAAATAACCCCGTTCTGGAACTTTCCCGAAGGACCTAAGGACGGCCCCGAAGTCAAGGATTCCTTGTAAAACGATAAGGAAGAACAAGTTGATAGCATTCACATGTTGGGCTACAAAGCAATGAAAAACCAGCAGTTGCTATGCTTGTGCCACAAAGCAATGTAAAACTTAGGGCTGCTAAGGGGTTCGTGGGCTTACTCCTTTCTAAAGCAAGGCATATTCCTTGCTTAAGGGGTATTGGGCTCTTTGGGTAAGGGATTGGGAGGAATGTAACGGGTGCCTGGTGAGGTTGTTGACCTGGGAGAGGGTTCGGGTTTAAAGGTTGAACTGAGGCTTAAATTCGAATACTTTATGTGCTCGTAGACCTAGGTCTGGACACGTATACCTTCAGCGCCTATAGGGTTACAGCTTTTCAACCTTTTAGAGCCGTACTGAGTTTTAGGTTTCTGACCCTAAAGGGTTTCGGGCATTGCCAAAACCTCAGACCCTATGGGGTTTAAACCCTATAGAGCAAACCTTGTCAGGGTTTAAGAGATAAAGGGTTTAGGGTTTAGAGGTTTAGATGCCTAAGCTTGAGGCTTAATTCTGCTACTTTATATGCATTTAAACCTTAGATCTGGACATTTATGCATTAAACCTTTCAACCTTTTAGAGCCCTATAGGCTTTTAGGGTTTTGACCCTCAAGGGTTTAGGCTTAAGGTTTGAATGCCGGGGCCTAAACCTTAAACCCTTGAGGCTTAAACTCTATGGCTTCGGTTTAAATGCCCAGTTCTTCACCGTAAACCTTTAAGCATTAACCTTATAGGTTAAAGGTTAAGGGTTTAGGTTAATTGCCGGCTTCGGTTTAGATGCCCAGTTCTTCAACCCTAAACCTTTCAGCCTTAACCCTATAGGGCTTAAAGGTGAATGCTCTAGGTTTAACTGCTTAACCTTGACACTCTATATGTTTGAAAGGCTTAAGCTCTTGCGACGGCAGGTTGTTAGGCCGATTATGTGGCAGAGCCGCGGGAGGATGCCAAGGTGGAAGCTGGACTTCGGGCACACCGTGAAACCGACCCAGGCATCTCTTCAGGGCCTTTGGGTTTCGGGTTTAGGGTTTGGGGTTTAGGGACTTTCAATCTTGTGGTCTTGTCACGAGCGAGATTACGCAGTGAAGTTGTCGGGAGGGTTGTCGGGAGGTCCTGGCTCCTCCAGTGAGGCGCACGGGATACCTGCACAGTGTCCTGATGCAGACAGCCCTGGTGGCGCACGCAAACGGCCTGCCTCAATTCTTGAACCGGACATGTGACCGTTGATGTAAAGCTATGTTCAGAATTCAAATTACAGGCTAACAGCCAAAAGGATAACAGGAGCAACATGCAAAACAAGAAGCTGGGAGAAGGACAAGGGAAAGGACGGGCCAATGTGATTGGATAAGACATGCAAAAAACAAACTGGAACAAGATTGGACAACAACAGGAGGAACACTAGGGGACCACGTAAGACCGAACGTGCAAGAACAAGAAGGAACTAAAGCAGATCTTGGTAGCATTGCCGCTCGCTAGTGACTAGTCTCGACTCGCCTATTGTTTCCTGTTGTTCAGTTGAGCTGTGTTTCTTCCAGTTTCTTTAAGCCAGTTGTTGTTGCTGCCATGTTCGTCTCATTTCTTCTTCCTCTTGCGTGTTCTGCTGTCCCATCTCCCTCCTTTTTGTTGCTTGTTATGTATCCTACTTTGTCATGTTCTTTGGGATAAAAACCCCAAGAGTTTTACGTGGGGACTGTCGCTCCGATGGTCTTGGGCCTGGCTTCTGTTTCAGGTGCATCGTCGCTCACAGGCAGAGAAAACAAATGGGTCAGGCACACTTTTCCTGACGTCGGCAGAATGTCGGTAGATGTCGGTGGACGTCCTCGGAACATAAGTTTGTGCACAGTTTTGGCAATGTCGGTTGCTTGTGTCATCTTAGGCAACGTGGGGGGGCTCGATGTCGGTGGCTTGTCGGTGGGCGGTCGCAGCAAAGCAGCTGGCTCAACCTTTCTGCACTTTCCTTTCCTTCGCTCCGCAAGTCCTCGCGGCAGGATGGCTGAGAAAGTGTGCGGCTGGCGCGCTCGCCCATCTGAGGACGGCAGAGGCAGCGTCCACTTCCTGGTGGCAGTTTGTGAGCGGTGGCGTTCTCTGCTTCCGCTGAATGCCTCGCCCAGAATAGAGGCGTTCGCCGGTATGGCTTGCGTGTCGGCTTTAAGGTTTCGATTGAGACCATTTTGAGAGATAATGTAAAGTTTTTCTACTACCTGGGAACCCCACCTACCAACCCAAAGGGTTGATGAGCATGTGTGGATTTGTGACTCATGTTTTACCGACAGCGCTTTTACCGGTTCAAGGAAAAAGAGCGACTTGAAGTTTAGCATGGTAGCGGAGCACACTGTGCATCCGGGACCGAAGCCATGCCTCGTGGCCGTGATGATGGTTTGGGTTGGAACCCTGATGCTGTGGAGCCAATGGAGCTCACAGAACCTACAGAGCCCATGGAACTCACAGAACCCATGGAGCCAATGGAACTCACAGAACCCATGGAGCCGATGGAACCCGCAGAGCCCATGGAAGAAGGGGGACAAGAAGAAGAAATGGAGCCACGAAGAAAGGAGATCAAGATTCACCGTGTTGGCATGGGAAAAGGCTACGGATCTTCAGCAAGCAGTTCAGCTGAAGGAAGTGGAAGTGCACCAAGGTATATGCCTCCAAAGCCGAAGAAGAAGCCCGAACGACCAGTGGTGGAAGGAAGAGATTACATTCCCTTGGAAGGAGGAGAACCAGACGGGCCAGTGGAGATCGGGAGTCCTAGTTCCTCTAGCCCCGAAACTACAATGGTGTACCAAGAGGCACCACCTACACCGAGAAGGGAGCCGAGAACACTTTCGTCTGGGCACATCGCCTTGGAGCTGCAAGAGCAGCAAGTGTCTGCTGAGCAACGCAGGCGAAGGCAGCTGGAGAGACTCTCTGCACTCGCAGCAGAGACGGAAAGGATCCAACGGCGAGCAAGGGAACGAGCCTTGCAGGAACCAGTTCGGTTTCCAAAGTCAGGAGGGCCACCGCCACCAGCGGGCCCAGAACCAGAGCAAGCTCCAGAGTGTCCACCGCCAGGACAAGAACGAGCTCCAGAGTGTCCACCTCCGGACCCAATGCCGAGTGGTACGAAGCTTCCTCTTCACACGCTGGACGGGGAGCAACGCAGCAGTGGCGGAACACATCCGCCGGAATGAGGAAGAGTATGCTGCAAGACGTGCCGGTGCAATTCCTTCAGGAGACGAAGCAAGAGCCAGGGAATCCAAGGAATTTGCTCGTGGAGTTGCATACTTTCGAGCCAGGTACGGCCAGCGAAGCCAAAGCAGTGGAACAGCGAGTTCCAGCCGAGACACGGGGCCTGGGACCCTACAACCCAGGACGGGACCTGGGACCCTACAACCCAGGATGGAAGATGCGAGAAATGAGCCAGGGAGCAGTTCCAGAGGACCACCTCCGAAGGAACGACCTGCTGGAAGCAAGGCGCCACCTCCAGAGCCAAAGGGACCACCACCGAAGCGAGGGGGAGCAACGCAAGCCA